GCTGCGAAACCACGCTCAGTAGCTTTTCAAATATGGGTGTGTACTGGTCCTTACCCACGGTCGCGGCTCGTTAACTTCACCCTGACTGCGCGAGGAGTAAAGACATCCGTGTACACTGCGCTTTCAACGATATATATTATTCACTAGCGACCCGCCCCGGGTTCGCACGGCTACAATTATTCCATTCCGAACCTTGTTAATCACTAATAAAGCTTTCCGTACGTGGAAGAATTTAAAAAAATGGTTATGCATTTTTTTATTCTTTATTACTTTGTATTTTTTTCTGTAGATTTACGAATTTGTTACATGTAAAGCATAGCGACTGTCCCGACTACGCAGGGACATTTCAATCTATTTAGGTACTCAAAACCTTAACATTTTAGAAATTATAGAGAACATACAAATGGTCGCAGTGGCTAATACATATATTTGTTTAATTATAAAATTTACTACAATCTTTTACATAAATCTTTATAATGTATAAAATAAATAAATAACTTTTGAATGGACCTTTAGAGATGTGGTTCTGTTACTAAGTCAACATTTGTGAGGTCTCTTTCAATGAATTTCTTAATGGACAGGTTTATTTGGGTTTCCCACGTGAATGTTCTCGTAGCTTCTTGTCAGACAGGATAGCATGTAAAAAACTCGAAGTGCTAATCGACCATGTCTAGCAACCACTAAATCATTCAATTTTATGTTCATTCACTTTTTTTCTGCAACACAGGGGTCTACTGTTACTATTACTAGATATTGTTACTAGTTTGTATAGCTATAAATATCTAAAAAATGTATACGAATACTATAAATCCTAAAAATATTTAGCTGGCTGTTTAAATTTTTTCATGAGTAAAGAGCAATTCTTTACTCAGGAAACAATTCAATGTATCTTCAATTGTTTAATTCCATTAATTTAATATGAAGATGCTGAAGATTGTACAAAAAGTATGGCCAATGGCTTTCTTCTAAAAAAAATGTTGTCTAGAAATATAATAGTTCTATGCGAAATCACGGCTAACAGCTATGGTTTTACAAATTACCACATTCTTCTTTAAATAAATAAAAAAAAAAACATAAATAGCTATTATTTCAAGTATTTGCTTCGTTTTATAATACCTTTGGAATGGAATATTTAAATAAGCAACAACTTGGGCGAAGGCGCGACAATACAGAGACATTTACTGATTCTTGAAAGAGAATGACAATAATAGCGTTTGAATTTGAAAGGCACGGCGGGAACACAGCCACCCGTAGCGATATTACGTAGATATCGACGGCAATCGCCATCTCTGCCTCTCGACCGTGAATTGAACGTCTCCTTTGGTTACGTACCCCAAGTGCCTAAGTACCTGTGTACCAACCCAAAGCCCTGTTTATCTACAATAATATAATAAAAAAATGTACGTATTTTGTATAGTAATCTTCGGAAATATTTCACCAGTTTGAAAATTTTATTATTTCAAATGTACATTATGTTTTATGTTCGTTAAATGTGCATTTTAACTGTTAAATCAGATAGCTATCCTATTGGAGGCATTGTTAACTGTCCATAACGTGGTAAACGTAACACTTGACATGCATTTTGCTGAGCATATTTGCGTCCTACGTGATAAAGGGTCAGCATACCATCATCTTTCTGATTAATTTGGTTTGATTTTTTATTAGAGCTTTGAAGACTAAATTGAGATAGTAAATCACTAGATCATCAGGCCTGTATTCAATAATGTTACTAATCCACACTGTTGTTATAAAAGTACTTAGTACTGTACTTTGTGAGTTTCGAAATTCTCATCAGTATAGCAACCTACAGAATCAATACACCTATTTTATGTAATTGGAAGGACAAATAAGCTATCGGTCCAAGTAGTAATGAAACAGCACTACGGATATAACGTTATCATGTGATTTTCGTGATACTACAAGTGCGCTGCCATTCCTGGGGACTACGATTTAATGCAATTTCCTGTAAGACAACTGCCTTATCTTACTCTTCAACAGAAACAGATCTTATGCTTGGCGGCTGACAGAGATGACTCTGAGGTACATATGCACAAAACTTTTTATAAAGTCTACCTCGATTTAATCTGCTCTTATTTGAAAATATAGCTTTGCTATTTCAAAGGTACCAACAAGTACCTAAATTATATAATAACTTATAGATTACAAAACGAAGCCTATTAAAAGTATTACAACATATCAAATTAAATCAAAGATAAATGAAAAAGGAATATAATTCATTTATTCGTTCACATCTATCACTATTATTATAGAATTAATAATAGAATTGACGGAGAGGTTTTTGTGACTGTTAATATTTGTACCCTTGTGAACTTCTCAGAAAACTCTAAAAATGCTATTCATGTGTCGACGATTTCGCACCGAAAAGTATTTCTTTTGTATCTATCGGAGTCATTCATTATAGGTACATATTATGTTATTTAATAGTAGATCGTAGAATATATTATTTTCTTTTGTAAACTTTATATCGGAACAGAAACTGAAATATTTAATATGCATTAGTATTTCGGTATTTAATTATGGTATGTAAATCACATTGTACAATATCTATTCTATTGTTTCGGTGTTGTTTTCAAGGTGAGATGTGGTAGAAAATTGATTATGTATTATAGGTACAGAGGTATAATGGAATATTCTTAGAAATACTAGTCCTAATGGGCAGTTAACGGGATAACAGGTGTCTTAGTTTATTCTGTGATATCCACGGCGATGTTAAAAACTTCTAAAATGGTTTTCTTAATTGAAGAAAATGGAATATTGCACTAGTCTGTGCTGATGGTAAACACTGGGGGTATGGATGCAAATTATATGATAAAGTCGGTCAGTTGTGATTATTAACATTAACCACGATGGTTCTAAGTGGGGAGACCGTGGAGGTCAACATGATATATTGACCACTAATCCCTATTACTAACAATTCCTTCTTGTTCTTATCCTTCACTATAGACAACAGCTTGAAATATATTTTAGATATTTCAGTATAAAATGATGGTGACATTATGGTAATTTTATTGAGGATAGCGTACAAACTAAAATTACAACTAAGATTATAAAGTAATATACGAGCAGGATATTTTAAATGCTAGTTACGTTTCTTTTTATTTTTTATTTTACCACTGTAGCTATCTTTTGCATAGATATGGTAGTAATGTAATTTTGAAATGAATAATAATTATTTCTTTATCTCTTTCTTAAACTTTAATTTCAATTAACATTATTTTATCAGGAATGTGAATAAGTCATTTTCGGTGGCCTATAAATTTGTGACTATATTTATTAGAAGACCGTATACAAGGAGACAATTGAATTTAAACATCCAAGAGTTACGTAGAGTCATAAAATGATTAAGTAAATCTTGTGAACCATTTCTAGCAAATAGAAACGGAATAAAATATGTAACAATGGATTTATCAATTAGATTTTTTTTATTCCCAGACCTCACCACCGTCACCGTGAGAAATTGAGAGCAACCTGAATAGATCTTTCGACGAATCAATGCTGGCCGAAAAGAAAGTGATCCATCTTACTTAATCCGCCGTGTACTTGATCTGACATTATGAACGTTTCGCAATTTTAAAACGTAACGTCATTTTATAACTCGTACAAACTTGCGGTACGTTTGGGTTTATTGTTACTTTCGTCTACCTGTATAAATATACATGAACGATCTATATAAACATGAATTGTAGAATTTTTGTATGCATCATTCAGAATAGTTACTCTTATTTGAGTAATTAGTTTTTTTTTATTAAGGATTTATCAAATAATAGGAGCCATTCTGAAGTGATGTGCCTATGAATGATAAAAAACTACATTAACAGAGGAACAATCGATTGTTTAATTCTGATGGAAATCATTTAATTGACATTTCATTATTATACTATTTTTTTCATTAGATGATGGGTGCCTAGTGTATACGTAATAGACAAAAGAAATATTATCATTCGTCCGTATACAATCATACATTCGTTTAATTGTGTACTATTCGGTTGTATGGACTCTATCATTTATGTAAATGTAGAGTAAAGGTACCTATTTCATTTCACATACACATACATAATTTACACTGTAGCTTTGTATGATAAGCTCAATGGGGCGTTGGCCTTATTGTTTTCATTCCCACCAGTGAACAGTTACAGGTATAGGTACATGTAGACACGTTTCTTCGTAAGGTTTTATGATAAAAAAAAAATTTTAGATATCGATTTTCCTATTCTGTTCTTGAAACAACAATGTGACAACTATTTTATAGAATTGATATATAATTAGATATGTAGGTATATATATGTTTGCATGTATTAGATGTAGATATATATAATATTTTTTCCTGTAACGTATAGAGCTACATAATGTAATTGTTTACATAATTGGATATACGTGTATTGTAGTATCAAAACCGATTTTTTTAAAATAGTGGTTAGGTTTTTGTAATTATTTTAATAATATTAACTGTTTAATATACCGACATGCACGAAATTGGTAAGTTTTCTTACTTTATCTTGCCAATTTAAAAAAAAAATATATTGATTCAACATTAATAAAATAAAATAAACGTATCAGTGCATTATCTAGCATATATAGCCCGTTCCCACTAATTCAATTATACAGTTCAGTTGACTGAGCATGTTTTGTTGTTTTTTACTTGTTCAGGTAACTAACTTGTTAAAGTTACAAAGACAGCTGCATTGTTTGATGTATAAATCAGTGAGACATGTATGGAAAGAAAATATACATACCTACCAGCACTAATTTAATAAGAGTTTACATGTATCTAATATTATAGGTAAAATGTATTCATCTTAATTAGTTGATATCCACTCCAATTAGTAACGTTAGGTCAAATATGGCAAGAAGGTATTTACGTATTTGTAATAAAAATGCGAAACGGTTCTAAAAATGTTATGATTTGGGAATTTCATATACAATCCAATATTCCCTTGCATATCTTGAAATTTGTATGTGGTGACTGAGTAACTGCTTACCTTGTTATTGGACAGACAGTTATCGGTCGATCCCCAACCGTGAATGTTCCCGGGCTCCGCAGTAGTTAAAATTGCCGCATTCCTCTGTAGACGGGCACGGGCGTGAGACCGGCACAGCCTCCCTATCTGGACCGGTTGTTTACCACTGCCTTGGTGTCCCAAAATTAACACACGATGTGGTGATTATCACATAAACAACTATTGAAACACCGTCCCTAGTGAGATGCTTAACCGAGTCATGGTTAATTCATACAGTTTGTTTTCGGTGTGCGGCAGGTGGGCGCGTCAACATTAAACGAGTGCAGCAGACTCGGAGACGCGCACGGTACTGGCTGGGGGGCGACGCCAGTGCCCCCGCGCGCACGCGCGCCAGCCAGACACCTCCCGCCTGCCCACGGCTCAAGCCTCCTAAAGCAAAAGCCTTCATTTACACACATGGTCTTGCAGTCTGACACAATGAATATTCAATCATAAGGAAATGTACAGCAATCTCACACTAAGCTAAGAACCGAAATGTAACAACTCACATGCATCCAGCATAGATTGAAGTACATTACAAAAGCGGGATGTTTATGGGCTACAAGTTTGACCTAGTTGCAGTTCACACTTATATTTCATGGGATTAGGAGTGGCACCTCATCACAACAATTCATCTTATATACATAGCTGGTTATTAAGCGGCTAAGCGAGCATGCAGGTGGCGAAAGGAGTTAACTGCCAACCCGTGGCTTAATTTGTTGACGGTTAACATTAATGACAAATCAATGCTTTACGCATTGCGTATTTTCATAACACCCGCCTCTAATCCCTCAAACGCAACTAACGTCTGAAATTAATCACGTAATATGCTTTTGTACAACTAGTAGTGACGGGAAATTAACTAATTACTGTAGCTATGTGATATTGAATTATGTGTGCAATACTGAATACTTAATTAAAGTTTTAAAGTATTTATAGATTATTAAATAAAACTTATTTTAGCTATTCTTTAATATCTGTGAAATTTTGAAGCTTTTACTTTGATGACATTTTTTACTCTAGTAGTTGTTGCTGTGGATGTACTTTCCAAGAGTTCATCTAGTGTATGGGTTCAATTGATTAGTTTCAGTAAATTGAATTCAAGGTTAGATTCTCGACTAGATAATTTTATGGCTCGTAAGTTTTATAAATTGACATGACAATAACGAAATGACTATTTCCCTATTATCTTATGTGATTGCAAATAATAATAATTATTATTAAAATTATGTATTAACAATCTTATATTACGTCACACGTTCGAAGGGAAGAGGAAGGGGTACACAAAGTGTGATATTGTGTGACAAGGGTTGGGAGGGGGTGTCATAAATCTAAGTATCAAAACACGAAATTTAAACTATTACCAAAAAACCTAAAACATTTCCAACTAACATAAGGTTTAATTTTATTTGTTGACCAGTTCAAACTCAGTTTTGTAAAATGGCAATATATGTGACGTCACACTAGGGAGAGGGAACTTTAATTAATTCATTACATTAATCATTTCTTATTTCTTATTATAATTAAAACCTACAGTTTTTTTTAGAATATTTACATTTAGCATAAAAGTAGACTGTAATAGATCATAGGGGTAGAAGTACATTATTGACATAACATTTATTTATTTTTCAACACATTTGTAGACACGCTCGTAATGTAGATCTAATATTTCCGGTTCTCGATATATAAATCAATTCATAAAACATATGTATGTTATAAAAGCAAATAGTGAAGTTATATTCCACAACCGTACTATTTGCTTATTTAAAAAAAATCGAACTGAACGCCGCGCCCGCCGCCGTGCGGCACCATCCAGTAGGCAGTCCGCCGATTGAAAAAAGTATAACGGCGGGAAAGCAACATTGTGCATAACAGTTTTATGGTTGAGTTTATTTAAAATCAAGTGTGCTGAAAAACATCGTACCAAGTTACTTACCAATCTATCTAATAAAAAATTACCAATACCAATCAGAAATTTCAATGACTGCAAAATTGGTAGTCATTGATAAGAGAGACTATAAAATATAGGACATAAAGATTGATAATTAAAATGTAATGGCAAGAATAAAATCAATCTACAATATTAAATATGTTTAAAAACATTAAACTTGAGATAAACTCGTTGAAGTCTTTTTTGTGGATTCTTGGCCTCTACGTAAGTAGTAGACAATAATAGGTTAACTTCCATTGCGGTATTAAGAATAAAGAAAAAATTTACTAGTTGATTCAGATCTTGAAAATATATATTTGACCAAACAGGGAGCACCAGCACCGTTCATCCCAATACTGTGTTATTGTAATCCAATTGTTTTTTAAAGAAATATTCTTTTATTTTTATTAAAGACCGTCTTCAGCTGTAGGTATGTCTAAAATGAATTGATATTTGCGGACAAATATTGACATATTCTTCCACAAATATCTCGTCACCCGTATCACAGTTATAGGACGGGCTAGGGCAATAGTGTATTTAACATTAAAAAAATTAAAGTATGTAATATTACCGGCCATTTTGAACCAAAGAGACCAAATTTTTGATTGATTAGATGATTAAATAGAGGGACGAATAAATGCAAATTGCTATGCTAAGTGTATATCATGTTTAGGGACAAAATGTGTTTTTTTTGGAAGTAAGAATTAATTAGAATAAGCTCTTAATAGTCGTAAAACGTCGGTTATTATAACATATTCTGGCTACTATTATCATGACGCCTTTTACAATTATCTCTTGGTTTATATATCTGCTTAAACTGATTATCATTGTACAGTGAACTTATAAAGGAATAATATTATATTATAATATATAAAATATAGTCGATTAAATAGAAATATGTCATTATTCAAAATTAGAAGCTAGAATTGCCTCCTTTTAGGTATATAAGTCAATTAAAGTAACCACGCCGCGCCGCGCCGTCTTAATCATTATATAAATACTTTTAAAATTATATATAATACTTCTGTGTAAATTTAAAACATTAATGGGAAAAATAATTTAAAAACTTTAAATGTACATTTTGAATACTACCATTTTTCTATAGTAAAATTATAAAGTAAATGTTTTTGAAATTAACATTTGATCAATATAAGGACTAAACTTGGGCTATGTTCAGTCTAGGTAAAATGTTAAGTTATATTTTTATACCTATGTTCGTAACTTGATAGGATGGTAACGATGGTGACGGAGTACCACTGTAGCACGTTGGTTATCCTCATCACTGTAGCGTTATATATGTTGTGATGAGGTGGCGCTACATTATCTATTATTTATTGTAGTATGTAGGTAGTGAGTATACCGGTAAATAATTGTACCTACTATTTATTAGACATTATTAAGTTTATTGCTAGTGTGCTACATGGCTTAATAATAACGCGTACAGTTGATGCGGAGTCGGGACGTAGACTGATTTTACACTTAACTTAGATCTATGTTAGTGGAGACGTAAACTAATGTGTGACGACTAAACTATACTCAGGTTATCGTCAGAACTATGTTTTAATTTTGATGATGAAAAATAAGAAGAAAATCCTTACATAACGACACAATAGCATTTACTTGCGATTTCGTTCCCTGCTATAAATAATAGCTTACCTTTATTCACCTCTATCCAAAACACTACTTGCATACCTTCTCCTATAGCGCAAGGCGGCAAGGGACCTCGTTTGCTTGCACCTGGTTATAAGTGATTAACGCACAACACCATGGGAATAAATTACTAGTCTTATAGAATAGGATATGGATACAACGATTAAGTGATATGAGCGAGGATGGGTGACCAGCACTCTTACCATTCGGACCTTGGTAACACATAATAAGTTTCCCGCATTCTATGAGGCTGTAGTATTTTTCAGGCCGAACTGGTTCATTTGTGCTGTAAAACCATGACCAACCAATGACAATAAAACTAAATTTATTGTCATTGACATGATATAAATAAAACTTATTCCGCTTCTTTAGCCATATATTTTTAATATATGGTTAAAGAAGCGGAATACACGTAACTCAGACATTACTATGCTTACTAGGTTACCCCGATACTATATTGTTGAAATCAAATTGTTTTAAAATTATTTAAACATTTTTTCATTTTTCAAAAGTGACATTGGCTAATAACTCAAATATGCATGGCTAAAACCTACAGCCAATTTAGAGTAAAATATATAACGTGTAAATGCATCTTAAGTTGTAATGTTATCAATAAATCAAAACAGTATGATAAATCATATGAAATCAAAATCTGCATGAACAGACATGGCTGTATGAGCATAGTCTTTTTGCCTTGAGTAACAGAGAAATGGAACAAAAAAATGTACGTCAGACATGATGGGTCAATGTCTCAATGTCTTCAACGCTGTCAATAACAGCTGATTATCGATTTCATTCGTTTTATTTATTTATCAATATTACATATACTTTATTATTTATTTGCTTGTATACATTTATAAAAACGAAATGGACCGATTTTTTTGTTTCTACAACTTTAATACTATTTATTTGTAGTAAATTTTATAAAAACTCGAGTTATAATTGAAACTTTATAAAGGCATTAAATTAGTACACAACAAGATGTCAAAGCAGAGTGTATTGTTTCATCCCATCATAAGTTCAATCCAAAGAATAGCTCTCTATGAAACCAAAGCGGTATGTTATTACCTAATATTGCCAGTTGTTCTGTTTTATTTGTTATTAACATTTGTTAATTTTAAGGCTCTAGTAGTTCCTGTATGTAGGTGGATGTAGAGAATTATTCATAACTTACCTTTGTTCTGCTACTTTTAGTAGTTTTTTAGTTCTATATTACTTATATCATACATTTATAGATCTATATTATATTTTCTTCTAATCCCTATTGGCATACATGGGCTCTTCTTTCAGACACGTATTTTCATTCTTATATTCTTCTAACTGTTCCCGCAACTACGTCCGCGTAGATTTTTTTTTCTAAAATAAAAGTAACCTAAGTTATTCCTTATTACATATGCTACCTGCCAAAAAAGTCCCGACAAAATCGGTCCAGCCATTTCAGAGATTAGCTGGAACAAACAGACGGACAGACAGACAAAAATTGAAAAAAATGTTATTTTGGTGTATGTACCATATTTACATTTATATGCATGTAGTAAAAAACTGTTATTTCGATAATTTTTTTTATTATTTGTACTGTCTCACATATTTTGTGCCCCAATTTTGCAGTAATTTAATAGTTTAGAATTAGAAGGAGATTTTAGATTAGTAACCAAGTAAAGAAAACTGCAATTAAACTTATTTCCATTTATGCATTTCAGAGATTTTATTTAATTGGATCCAATAATACACAGACCAGATTTCGTGTACTGAAAATAGATAGAACTGAGTCACGAGAGCTGACTCTTGTTGATGATAAAGTTGAATACAACAAGCAAGAGATACATCAGCTATTGAACATGATTGGATTTGGCAACAGACCGGGCAAATTGGGTGGTTTTAATAAACTTGTGTCCGCATTTGGTATTGTAGGTAAATGTCACTTATATTTATACCTATGTGAATGCTATAAAGGAAGGGTGAATTGACTTCGTTATTAAGACTGTAAACTTTAAATATTTGAGAAATTGTTTTACTGTTGGTGAGGTACATAACTCTAAAGTGACATAGAAGAAACTAACATAGTTATGAGTACCTGGGTCAATATCTGTAGTAAAATATAAAAAATAATTGACTCAAAATATATGTCACATCACACCATCTAGTACAAACTTATTATATGATGAAACTGATTTTATAAAAAAAAAATATTTTAAAGAGCAATGTAGAATCTCAGTATATTTTTAAAGTACCAGTCCTTGAAATAGTTTTTTTTTTTCAGGTTTCATAAGATTCCTAGAAGGTTACTATATAATACTTGTAACAAAAAGAAGAAAGATTGCCGTTATAGGCTCACATTCCATTTACAAGATAGAAGACACTGCCACCATATACATTCCCAGTGAGAGTAACAAACCACAACACCCTGACGAGCAGAGATATCTAAAAATGTTTCTGGCAATAGACCTTTCAACAAACTTCTACTATAGCTATAGTTATGATATTACTCATACTTTACAAATGAATATAGCACCGCCAAGACAACTAGCGCCGGTGTTATTTCCCAAGCCTGTAACGGCAGTTGTACATGGAACCAGTTCAGAGAGTTGTAAAGTGCAATGTACTTGTAAAGATGGTAATGATGATGAAGATATCTTTGAAACATGGAAGAAACAAATAAAGCAAAGACAAGATAAAATGGGGTAAGTTACAGTCACTGTTTATTCTTAGTTAACAAGTAGTTACTGGGTAGATCATATATATTTTATTGCACTTGCAACATTAAAAATTCTTCATATTATACTACTAAGCAGTATTATTCTTCTCGACATTATGATAATAGAAATATACTTTTTTGATTGACCTAATCTTGGTTGGCATCCACTGCCACTCTATCATCATAGTGAATGTGAAGAGAGAAGTACAGAGCCTTGTCTATACTTCTTAAATAGGTAACTAAATTAACTGTATTAAAAAAAATAAGATAAGTGTCAGAAAATCTCCTATATAAATAAATGACTTTGGTTTTAAATAAATAAGGTACATTGTTAGTGACCTATAATGATATGCCGAAATATTTCATAAATTTCTTGAATCTTTAACAACTGAAATATGGTTTCCCACTTTGATGGCAATTAAAAAAGAAATGTGAAGGGCTGTAGTTTCTTGGATGCTTCTAATAATGGATTTCAGATCGTTTATCATTTCAAATATATAATAAAAATAAATGCTTTTCAGATGCCAAAGTCAGAAACTAGAGTTTGGTGTTCGGTCTGTACCGGAATGGCGTTTTGTGTGGAACAGTCATTTACTATCAACAGTCCATTCTCATCTACACCCAGATTGGATATTGTACATTGTACATGGGTTCATTGCACAGAGTAACTTAAATATTTTTGGGCGACCCATATATCTAACTCTAATAGCTAGAAGGAGTAATAGATATGCAGGTACAAGGTTCTTGAAAAGAGGTGCTAATATCCATGGAGATGTAGCAAATGAGGTGGAAACTGAGCAGATTATCCATGATTCAATGGTGTCTTCACTCACAGCTGGCAGGTTAGACGCATTTTTAATATTTAAACAAATAGTGAATATTAAAGAGCATATTTACATAAATTGACAAAATAATTACAGAATGTTTAAATAGTTTTACACTTAATGGAATATGTATGCCATGTGTATTTAGATAGACATGACAATATGAAATAAGAAGTTTCTGCTTTTTATTTAAAACAATCTTGATTATATATAGAAAGTATTAAGCCATTGAAATATATTGTATACTATAAAATAGGAATCAGTCTATATAAGGATTATTTTTGAAATTCGTTATAAATGAAGGTAGTAGTAGTAGTAATATTTATTTGAAGGTTCATTAACTGAATTAATTTTATTATAGATTCAGTTCATTTGTGCAAATGCGTGGTTCAATACCCAGTTATTGGTCTCAAGATGTTTCAAAAATGGTACCAAAGCCGGCTATATCGATCGATTTGAGTGATCCATTTGCAGAAACACCAGGAAAACACTTGAACAACCTCATGAGAAGATATGGGGCACCTATCATGTTCTTAAATCTGGTGAAGAAAAGAGAAAAAAGGAAACATGAATCTCTACTCACTGATGTAATAAGCAATGCAATTAAGTATCTTAATCAATTCTTGCCACCAGAACATGCTGTGCAATATATACATTTGGATATGGCAAGAATGAATAAGGGTGCTGATGCTAAAGTTTTAGATAAGTAAGTATTTTGAATATGTAGATTTGTTTAAAACTTCAAGAGACAGTTCTAAAATCAGTGGCGATATTGGAACAGTGATTGGCGTCATTATTATTATTATTATTATCTCCAATGATTTACCTAGTCACGAGGCCATCTAAGTTGTACGACACCAGTGATTTTCGACATGTGTATAGTTGCTTTAAATATGCCATTTTAATTTTCCTAGTCTATACTGCAGAACACAATTATCTTCTAATAGAAGGAGGATACAGCCCACTATAACAATTATAACTACATGATTTGGGCTTTGTGAATTGGTGCCTTAGTTAGTTTTTATACCCTCCTGGGATACATGTCTTTATACTTAAGGATTCTGTAAAGTATCACAAGAATGGCCCAAGTTGTTTTATGGCTTGCTTGCAAATGTGCTTATTTGTATATTACGTATGTATTTCCATATTATATATATTCAAGTATTTATACCAGTTTTCTAATGCCTATACCACAAGCTCTGCTTAGATGGCGCTGTGTGAATTGTTCCTGGTTATTATTATTACGTTAAAAACTGAGGTTTTGAGATTAGATATTGGCCATTACTAGTAGGCCGGCCCGACTTCGTCTGGCTGCGCATAATAGTAAAAGAATTTCTCAAATGGATGCAGGGTTTACAGAGTTTTATTTGCTCAAAATATATTTTTTTTCTTAAGGCTATCTGCAATAGCACACACAGCGGTACAGCGTACAGGTATATTTGTGAACTCTAAAAGCTACGACGAAATGCGTGGTGTCGATGGTCATCAGGGCGGCCGAGTGCAGACTGGTCTCGTGCGTGTTAACTGCGTCGACTGCCTCGACAGAACAAACACGGCGCAGTTTGCTATAGGGAAATGTGTTTTAGCCCATCAGGTTCGTGAAAAAATACTTCCCTTTTTTATTTTACCCTTAAATACTAAATCTATGTACTTAAATAAAACAATGCCGGTTTAGTTATTCACTATTTGTAAGCCTGACAATATTTTTATATATTTTCATTTCAGCTGTATGCGTTAGGGTTAATTGCAGAACCAGTTATTGAATTTGATTCGGATTGTGTAAGACTTCTGGAAGGTTTATATGAAGACCATGGTGATACTTTAGCATTACAATATGGAGGTTCACAACTTGTTCATAGGTATTTATAAATATTACCGTTATTTGTAAATGATCGAAAATACGGAGTTTGAGGCTAAGCTAAACACACCACGCTCAGTTTTAAACCATACATGTAATTTATGTTTCAAGAAAAATATTACTCTTTATTTACTTGCAATTAGCTGCATGCACTACACTATACTGACATGGGTCCTTCAAACGGGATTCCTAGATAACCTGATTTTGTTTTTGTATTTATACTTACAATCTTATAAGAACTAACATATTGTATCTCAGTATTACCAAGTCATCTCCTGTAATTATTATTACGATAAAATTCAAAATAAATATAGCTAATTATTGTCAATTATAAAGTAACAACAATACACTTACTTAATATTTTTATTTCAGAATAAAGTCATATAGAAAAACAGCTCCATGGGCATCACACGGCAACGATATTATGCAAACTTTAAGCCGATACTATTCGAATACTTTCTCAGATGCAGAAAAACAAAATACTATGAATTTGTTCCTTGGACTCTTTATTCCAGATCCTACGAAACCACCGATATGGGATTATCAAAATGATTATTATTTGCATCACCCAGAGGCATCAACATACATACCAAATAGAAGGTAAGATCAAAAAATTAAAAACGACTAACATTTTCTCAATAACGTTACGTAATACTTAGAATTTTATTGATGTGATGTTATTAAATTATATAATTTTATTTATTTATTTTTAAAAAATAACAATATTTGTGTAACAAACAAATAACATCTATGATTCTTTTTTGTTTTTAATGATTGGTTACTGTGTCGAATGAACATATTTCGTTTCTTCCTTGATTCTATTTTATATTTTCTGCTTGCTGCTAGACAATTAATGTTATTGATATGTACTTAGTTTAATGGGTCAGTGTAACGGAACCGATATTCTTGATAAAAAAAATACGTGAAATATATATTTGCCCGTAACAAGCAGGAATAACCTGTAATTTTTGTTTTCGAAGTAAATCTTTTATGGATGGATTAATACCAATAACATTTTTTAAATCATAACCAATTTACACATTGTCTTGTAATCTAACCCACAGGTCTTTAACAAAATGGTGGGACGATGATGTACTGCGATATGTACCTCTCCCATGTAACGAGATGAGGAAACTTTGTTGCGAGATTATTGGCATGCAAGGAGACAGTAGCGCTTTGGAGATGGTCGACCCTTACCACGATCATAACAGACCATTCGAGTATACTGTATTTGCAGAGTGTTTCGAATTTAAGGTTCGCTCAATTTTAGTCTATGGTATACTTATTTATTTAATACAACTGCAAATAAGCTGTCTACCTAATAGGTGAACATTACTATTCATGAGATAGTCAGATTTACTCCCATTATCATTGCATTCATTTTATAACATAACATTTATACACTACTGCTGGATTTTGTCATTTTTCTTTATCAATTAATTGTATCTGTACTTCTATATAGTATGAGCCTGTGAACAGTAAAACTGACACAAGTAACATTGCAGATGTGTCATACGAGAGACCTCGCACCTACCTTCTCCGAGAACTTTAGTCCGTTTGTAGTGCGCGGACGCACCGTCGAACACAAGGGGCCTACGTCTAAAAACCCAGTCATTAGCGGCCGTTGTAGCACCACATCTAATAATTCTAGCGAGTATGTGTACCTTTATAATTTTCTTATTGCATATTATTATGATAAATGAAAATAATAATCTAATAGATAATTTTACAAAGTGAAACAAACGATGAGACTTACCAGAGATCTTCATTTCAAATTATTAACGAATATATTACGTTCCATTTGTTAATAACAATATAGACAAATATAATCCTTATGCCAATAAATTTAATTTATAATTATAACGCATTGCAATAAAACTCAATTGTGGCTGTTTTTAATCAATTTCATTACACAATTTTATTAGTTCATGATTTCATATTAATTAAATGTAAGTAAAAATCATATAATCACACACATATGGATATGTACGTAATCATACCGTATTACACAGAATAGAAGAAAAAACAGGGGACTACGTAATGAAGTCTCCCCTTAGTGGACTCTACTAATGCTAGTATAATTAAATATCTAATTACCGCTCTTATAGTTCGAATAGTGATTCGTCATCAGACGATGATCTAACCAGTTCAACGCCAAGTTCCCGATTAGCTGCGCCGTCTCCGTTGACCGTACTAGTCAAAATACTGAGTGCTGAAGAAGAAGAACAAACAACAACCCTGTTTCCTGCCATCAAGCGTCAGAATAGGGTTTTATTGAAGGAACCAAATAAACGTGATATGCTAATGTGAGTATTTTTTTTATGGATGATAATAGAATGGTGCATCCGCCTGCGCTAACGGTTTACGCTGGCGGGGCACCAGTGAAGGAGGACAAGATGAGCATGAGGTCAAGTCAGTTAGCCCATCGTGTCAAATTCACCAAGAATTTATCACAATGGTTTGCAGGTGGAACCGCGTGGAGATCAACCTGACTTGGTTCATTGTCAGCAATAAGATTATCAGTCCACATTACTAACAATCCCCTTTCCCCCCTAAACTAACCTCTGGTCATTGGGAGGGAGGAGAGCTTTGTCTTTAATAATTGTATACGTGCGAAACCGTAGTTTCACCACCGTACCACCCGCCAGAAACTGAAATACCATCCTGATCATCTGAATGAATGGCGGTCTTCCACAGTGCGGTTTTCAAGAAACTTTTTGCCACGCACAACCACATTGTGGAATCACCTTCCAGCAATGGTATTTCCGAACCGATACGATATTGAAACCTTCAAGAAAAGAGCTTATTCCTTTTTAAAAGGCCGCCAACGTACTTGCAATTCCCCTGCTGTTGCGGGTGCTCATGGGCGGCGGTAAACACTTACCATCGGGTGAGCCGCATGCTAGTTTGTGTGTTATACAAAAAAAACCGAAGCTACGCAATAGGGCTAGTATAAAATAAGATATATATATATATGACTATTTTATAGTCACTATCTCTACTCTTTTTATAAAAAAAAATCATTTTTGTATAAAGTTATTAAAATCATAATTTGTTTAACAGATACAAGCGATACGTGAATTTCGAGCGACGTTCGAACCCTAAATATAAATCTGACTCACACGTGGTGATGACCGTCAACAGTGCTTTCACCATTGACAGCTCAGTCGACGTGATCCCGCCCACTGTCACCAAAGTAGCCAAGGAGATATACCACAACTACGTGCAACGTAACAACGGCCGAATAGTAGTATCGCCTAATTCTATTGCACTTTATAAAAAATATGTAAACTTTACTCTATAGCACATATATGCACATATACATAAATTTGAGAGTGTATCGGGTCGCTCAATTCAGTGAATCGGTATTCATTCAATTTATAAAATAGAAAATCATATCCTTTAATACAGTGATTCTATAACTGTGCGTCGTTATGACTCTTTCACCGCGGTATCACTAATCGGCCTTCGCGAAACCTCCAGATCCCCGATTTGAGAAGTTAAGTTCAGAAAAAGAAGCTCATCTGACTCATAAATTGTACCTGTTTAATGCTAAATACTATTTATCCTGGAGAGAGACTTACAGTTTTTAGTGTAGAAAATAATCATAAATATTTTCTGTTACACGAAAATCTTAAACAAATTGGATATTTTTTATGTAGGTATTTGCAATATGCATATTTTATATTATTTATATTATTTTACATACCAGGTGGATATGTGTGCTTATGCGAATTGTAATAAAATGTTTTTGAATTAGTTAACACGACCTATAAACGACAAAATATGTCTGACAATTTAATAGTAGTAAATTAATAGCATTAGTCTAATAAAAATTATACGTAGCGATTGCCTACTTAACAGGAAAAACTCATGTAAAATATGTAGTTTTAAGGTTCAGAATTTTTATGATTATAAATATTTAAAAACAAAATATATCTCTGTATCATTTAACTAAGAATTATGTAAATAATTAAGTGGATAAGTTTTAATAAATTAAAACATTTATTATGAGTGTCATATTATATATATTTCCAACTGATTCTCCTGGGAAGTCGAGTGGCAGCGGTAGGCTCACCCACTGCGACATTAGTTTTAAACATACTAAGCGGAATGTGGGCATGTCAAGTGTCGCGTTTACCACAAATCAAATTGTATAGTCAGATGCATTGTCATCTGTCGATAAGTTGACAATGCAACTGACTATACCATTTGATATAACAATCGTGACAGTACTACATATAAATTTGAATTTCTACTAGTCTTGTAAAATTCAATCAAATTAAATAAATCATTCAGAAGAAAGGGACAAGGCAGTTTCATACCTATAATAGTTTCAGTATTTCACATTAAAATTTTAATTCTCAAGTGAAATTTGGTTTTATCAAACTATTCAAAATTAAACCTGTTGAACTATCACTTTGTAATAACAATGTCATTTATTGTAGTGCAAGCAATGTGTATATTGCTCAGGACGACCTCCATCAGGAAACAAGTGCATAAAGCATGTAACAAGCGAAAGTCTACTGCTTTCGATGTAGTAACTATGACTACCCTCTTATATTATAACATCGTGGCGCCATCATTGATAAGCCTATTGTTTGATTTAGCTCATTCAACCAAACTGTGAGGCGATATATGATATACCTTAGCTAGCTTATATATGATCTAACAAGAGTACAAGTACGAGACTTGTCATCGGTGCAAGATCATTTTCATTTTTTTACAAGTTTGCAAAAAAAAATTTGACTTACTATAAAGTATCAAAATACAGTGACAAGTTTAAAGAGTCAAATTTACCTTTTTTTTTCAAGATTTCATATGGTTTTTTTATTTCTTGTTGTGGTTACATATTTTAAGATTGGCAACCCTGACCACAGGTACCAAAATGGATACATTAAAAAAAATATTTCACATTTGACATTTAGTCGTGTTCCTTTTTATACCTATTCGCTTATTTTACAGAACTGAACTCGAAGAAGTGCGAGGAACTGTCAATCAATATCGACAAATTGACTATTTAACTACCGCAACCATATTTTTTGCAAAATTGCCGTTGAACTATAAAAGGAACGCCGTAGTTACGAGTAGTACTCGTAGTTACTCGGGTCGATCGTTTTTCTGAATCTAATTTTATTGTTGTGTGAAATCGAATTCTAATGTAAAAAGGGGGCGGATGGCTATTATATTTATCTGCTAAACTATTGCGGCACCATGGCTATGTCAAAGGGTTTTAAAGTTTTAGAGAAGTCATCTCCACCGAATCCTTACAGTGTAATATTACAACATAGGAATAAAGATACTTCTCTGTTGTTCGAGTCTCAAGCAGTAGTGTCGTTATCATCGCAAGAAACAGATACACTTCGAAAACAATATCACAAGATTGCTGACGCGTACGGATGTTTAGGGGTCCTCCAGCTGAATGCTGGTGAAAGCTGTTTGCTGTACCTCGTTTTGGTCACGGGCTGTTGCTCCGTTGGTAAAGTTGGTGACATTGAAGTTTTCAAAATTACACAGACACAGTTTTTACCATTATTTCACCAGTCGCAAGGCGATGACAAAGTTTTAGAGGTAAGAAAACTTCTAAATTCTGGTACATTCTATTTTTCTTGGAATTCGGGCAAGAATGCTGATGCTCTTTTTGATCTCACCCTGTGTTCTCAACGGAAAAGTAAGAGTGCTGATCCTGATAACAGGTTCTTTTGGAATAGAACATTATTTATTCATTTAATAAGATATGGAATTGACTGTGATGATTGGCTCACTAGAGCCATGTGTGGCTCTGTTGAAATTCGCACTATATATGTTGGCCATCGTCAAGCGCGAGCTGTCCTTGTATCCAGACTCAGTTGTGAACGAGCAGGTACTAGGTTCAATGTGCGAGGATGTAATGATGATGGTAATGTAGCAAACTTTGTAGAAACCGAACAGGCCATATATATTGATGATTCAGTGACCTCATATATACAAACACGAGGTTCAGTACCTTTATTTTGGGAGCAACCGGGAATACAAGTAGGCTCACATAAAGTCAAGATGTCCCGGGGGTATGATGCTTCGACGAGTGCCTGTGGTAGACATTTTTCACAATTAAAACGTAATTATGGCACTGTTATTGTAGTTAATCTTCTAGGGTCAAGTATGATTGGTGGAAGTGAAGGTGAGGCAACACTCAGTAATGCTTTTCAAAAACATCTCAATGACTCTGAACATTCCGATGTCACTCAAGTTATTTTTGACTACCATCAAGAAGTCAGGGCAGCTAATATAGAATCTGCTCAATCAAAATTTAAGAAAATTGTAGAGAGTTATTATGATGACATTAGTATATTTAGTGCTAAAGGAGAAGACATATATAATATACAAAAAGGTGTTATTCGAACTAACTGTTTGGATTGCTTGGACAGGACAAACTCCATACAAACATTCATAGGTTTGGAAATGCTGGCTATACAACTAATGTTACTGCAATGTATTGATAAAAAACAAAATGTGAATAGATTTGAGGAAGTTTTTAAACAAATGTGGGTAAACAATGGTAATGAAATATCTAAAATATATGCTGGCACAGGTGCTATACAAGGTGGTTCAAAATTGATTGATGGTGCTAGATCTGCTGCTCGCACAATTCAGAATAATTTATTGGACAACTCTAAACAGGAAGCCATTGATATTTTATTATTGGGCTCAACTTTGAACTCTGAACTAGCTGATAGAACCAGAATATTGCTGCCATCTAATATTTTACATACATCTACTCCAGTATTGCGGGAAATGTGTCGCAGATCGAATGAATTTACACAACCATCAAGTATACAAATTACTATTGGCACTTACAATGTTAATGGAGGCAAGCATTTTAGAAGTTTGGCTTATAAGGATGTGTCTCTGGCAGATTGGTTACTGGATTCACCGAACTCTGAATTGGTGAATACTGTAAAGGAACATCCATCAGATATATATGCTATAGGTTTTGAAGAAATAGTGGATTTAAATGCCAGTAATATTATGGCAGCTAGTTCTGATAATGCTAAGGCCTGGAGTGAAGAATTAGAAAAGGTTTTGTGCAGAGATGCCCCTTACACACTTTTATCAAGTCATCAGTTAGTTGGAGTTTGTCTTTTCGTATTTGTAAGGAAAGATCTCATTCCTCATATAAGAGATGTAGCACTGGATTCTGTAAAAACTGGTTTAGGTGGTGCTACAGGTAACAAAGGGGCAGTAGGAATTCGTATGGTTATATATGGGACATCAATTTGCTTTGTATGTGCTCATTTTGCTGCTGGTCAGAGCCAAGTATCTGAACGTAATGCAGATTATACTGAAATAACAAGAAAAATAGCTTTCCCAATGGGCAGATCTTTATATTCACATGATTATGTATTTTGGTGTGGAGATTTTAATTACCGCATTGACTTAGATAAAGATGAAGTCCGCTTACTTGTATCACAGAATAATATGGAACGATTATTAGAGCAAGATCAATTGATCCAACAAAAATCCCAAGGTCTGGTTTTTAAAAATTGCTTTGAGGGGAATATAACATTTCTTCCCACTTACAAATATGATCTGTTTAGTGATGATTATGACACTAGTGAGAAATGTCGAGCACCTGCTTGGACAGATCGTGTATTATGGAGAAGTAGAAAACACACAATTGACCCAGACAACACTTCTGAATTAGGAGCAGGCAAATTGCTTTATTATGGACGTTCAGAACTGAAACAAAGTGATCACAGACCAGTGATAGCTCTATTAGAAGTTGAGGTATTGCAAGTTAGCAATACAAAGTGCATGGAAGTATTTTATGAAGTCGTAAAAGATTTAGGTCCTCCTGATGCCAGTATAATTGTTCAACCCCTTGAGGATATACAGAGCGAAGATTCTATTTTTGATGATAATGTTATGGCAGCTGTATTACAGGAATTAGCCATGATTGGTGAAGTGACACTTGTTCGTTTTATTGATGAGCACACACTTAGTATCACATTCAGAGAAGGTCAAAATGCTCTTTCTGCAGCACAAAAAGGTCAAATATCTGTGTGTTCAATTCCATTGATAATTACATTGAAATCTCCAAATTGGGTAGACATTGTTCGATCGGAAATAAATTTGTGTTCCAACAATACTGTACCATTGTTTGGAGAAGCGCAGTCAGACCGCCCACTTAGATCTGCGCCGCCTACCCCTCGTCGTCAACAGCCCAGCAGACCGCCAGCACCGTCACCAACTCCTTTAGTCCCGTCACGAGTACCACCTGTGAGTCCTGCACGGCCTCCTCCTCCACGTCCCGCACCACTTCCACCAGACTCAGGAAAAATTGGTGACCAGCCTCCAATTACATCACCGCCTGCGGATAGCGTACCGCCTCCATCATGTGCACCACCACCGCCACCTCCAAGTAGTACACCGCCGCCTGCTGGTCCTCCACCTCCCGTTCCTGCAAGACAAGGCGCTCCGCCGCCATTACCAGCGCGCCCTCGTCCTGCCATGTAATTTGTATACCTAACACTAGTATGGTGTTACAATCCTCACAGTTTTACAATGCCATTTGTGCTTTTACTCCACTTGCAACCTCAATACTGTAAATCCTTTACAGTATTGAGGTTACAGGCTCATCATAGCTGTGCTCTTGGGCAATGTCGGTACATATGTTGTCAAACTGTGTAGATTTTAATACTATGACTATATTTTTTTTATTCGTCTTATATAATACTAAATTATTTATGTTCCTAGTATTTCTACATGTGACAATTCTTTTTTATTATTGTATTAGTTTCGCAATACTTAATAGATATAAATATGGATAAAGGTAGGTTGCAGTGTAGATGGTTTGGTTGTTGTAGATTGCACTTATATATGTCACTGTGACATCTAATTAACAAGAATAAAAATTATTTAAACATTAAAGTATTATACATAACATGTTTCATAATGTACGGAATATATTTAACTATCTTACATTAAGAGTATAAAATATTCCTAAGTTAAATTACACAGTCATGTTTTTATACAATGGTAGTTACATCGAAATGGTCGGTGATTTTTGTAGATGGGTCTTCTAAACACCCAAATTGAACACATTTATTTAAATAAGTAAGTACCCACATCAGTTTAGTTTAATTTTGTCTAGCTAAGCGTAATTGCCTATTTTGTGGCTGTAGTACTATAGTTCCATAAAAGTTCTTAAGTACTAAATATCATTAACTAAAATAAACTTTAAAGTGGACCGATTTAATGTTTGTAGATATGTATATCATTATTAACTTGTAATTGTGTATTTTTTTGTTTACAACGCCAAATGGGAGAAAGGTCACAATTTAGAAAGGAAAGATATTTTTTTTATTCTTACGCGATATCTTCATCAATTCTACGATTATTGCGATTATCAATATCAATACAATAATAATCGCGAAAATCGTAGAATTGACTTTGATGTAGGGTTTACAGTCACTCTCGTATTAATACCATATTAATTTCGATTGACTTGATGTTGGTTGTTCTTAATGGAATAAAAATATGTCTAATATAGTGAAATATATATAAATATTATACATACAGGTATAGTATTGTATGTACCTACACTTAAGCCAATACAAACATCGTGTACGACAATGAGCATTGTTCAATTTTTTCAGTAAAGACAATTTCGAACATTTTAAAAATTGTATTTAATTTAAACTTTTTTAAATAAAATTGGACATTGCCCATTTAAATTTCCGATTCGCGAATAAATAACTGTTGACAAATTAAAATTTTCTCCGGTAGGTCGTAGTTTTTTAAGAACTTGGCACAATGTATGCAAAGACACTTAAATTATTCTACACTGTGTTTTTAATTATACAATTGTTAAATCAAATTTAGTAAATCTCGTATAGATGAGACGTATTGTTGACTGGTCTTGAATGGTGTAGCAACGAATTTTATTGAATAAATGTAATAATGTCAGAGTTCCCAACAAATCAAGAGGTAACTTAAAAATATTCTACAGGATACCACCGGCAAGTAGGACTGTACTCTATGCTTGCCGGTGGTACCGCGTAGAATGTTTTTTAACATTTGTTAGTAATTTAACATTTGTTACAAAAATATTATTAACTTGTAGGATAAATATTTACTATAAGTGAAGACATATTTACTACAATTACCATCTCCAATATGAATTTGAGTAAAATAATATTTCTAATATTCCGAAGTAGCAGACGTATTGACTTCATATATAGTACATATTTAATAATAGTATGTATGGATGTATTGCCGGAATATGTAACAAATTCATTACTGCATCTTAATTATAGTAGTAAAATATGTGTAACGTAGGTAGACCCAATAATCTGAATCAATAATAATAATCTGAAAAAAGTTTTTGATGTTCGGGTTCGGCGCAGCTTTAGTTATAATTTCTACCAACTAGACAGTACCATCAAATCAGTCTTATTGTCAAAATAAAATCCCTCGTTTTGTGGCTGTGTTTTGCATTTTTATGAGTTTATCTGTCCATTGAATAGGTATTTTATAGTTAATCTTAATATATGTATATTATGAGCAGTCCTCTAACCAGTGAAATTTTTAACGTCTGGTGATAATGAAGATGTAGCGACATTGGATCTGTATTTAAATAAATAAGTAGTCATGTAAGATTTCGGCGATTCTTTTAAATCATCCCACTCTATTTACGGGTATGATTCTCGCACTGTAATTTATTAAGTTTATTTATGTTCATATTCTAAGGTGATTTAATCATGAAATCTGTTATCAATCGATATATGAATAGTTTCGTTTAGATGCGTTACATTTAAGTTAAACTGATTATTATTTAATTGTAACAGTTACATAAACAGTTTTAATATAAATATTGTCTTATATTATTGTTATGTCATAGGAAATTTACTCTGATTTTATATTTTATATACTTTTATACATTTTTTGTATACTTATGTTCTTATTGATTCTAATGTACCTGATTTTAAACCTATTTGCGAACGTAATCCTTCAGTCGTTTTAGTGGTCATATTGGAGGCCGAAATTTGGTGTAAAATTTAAATGATCAAATTAACGGTTATATAATAGGATTAAATTTAGTTATATCTAAAATATAAAACATATTAAATAAGTAACAACTTAATAACGTTGCTCTGTTGTGTGCTATTTATGAATATTGCGTAGCATCAATAATATTTATAAAAAAATACTTTCAAGCTACTACGTGTACATGATTGTAATGGCCAGTGTTCCATGTTATACAAAACTAAATTATAGAGATGTTAAAATTACTATGTTCTTTAATTTCACTTAGGCCATCTATAAACTGGTTTGATCCGAATCCGATCAATTCTCTATTCTGAGGAACAAAATTGAGACGCCCTGAACTGATATTCAGAAAGCTTGGGTTTAAGAAGCCAACAGCATTGTAAAAAGGTTGCTTTATTATATATATATCTGGGTAGAATGCCCAGTTCCTTATTCCAACTGACTGCCATCAATTTTATGATTTTTTTTGCAATCGATATAGTAACAAATATGGTACGTTTACTCTTTCCTGTTGAATTGCCAGTCACCACGGGTAAAGCATATCTACTTCTTGATTACATAAATAGGTAAATCATTGTTATGGTTACTTTTTATTTACCCATATGGTTCTCATAGCATTTTACTGGGATGTGAAGAATTAGAATGAAATCAAGTCATTTAGGCTATCGTGGCGAATTCAACCTAATTACATACATTCTTGATGGGCCTAATAATATTCTATCACCAACGATCCCTTCCACTCTAAATCTACCTGGGCAGGTCAGTAAAAATTCATGTCTAAAATTAAATGACCTACACATTAAAGCTCTAATTTAGCCACGATAAAGATCTTTTTTATCGTAGTGTGATTACAGTGTATTATAATATCATAGCAAGGAGGTAGTTCAGTCAGTAACTGTTCCTCTCTGGTTACGTTTGCGTACGGAATATACGAAGACATACCCTTATACACTAGAGGCGACGAAACGCTATTAATGGACCCATTGCTAGGAATGTACCAGGTGGATATCCACACGATATGCTTGGAAAATTTGCATGGTGTGGGTGAATAAATGTATAAACTAAATATGGAGTGGGCTGAAGTTGATTTTTGGTAATTGGGAATAGTGACCCCATTGCTAGCAATTTAGCAACAGGATGCCATCGTGGTTAATTTGTCACGATGGGCTAATTAACCAAACTGCATTCTCGCCCTGTGTTACTTCACAGTATACGCTTTTGCAGGGTGGTGCACAGTTCAGTTTTTCTAGTCTTTTTCGTTCTTACATTAAACCGTCAAAAAATTTGGCGACCCAGACAGAACGAAAGTAAAGATGGGGTCAAATTTAATATAGTACAACTGTATTCTATGGTTAAATTTGTCATATTATCATTTATTCTTATCAGTTAATATCAGTAACCTATCATGTGATATGTATATTTGGTTATGTTAGACCAAGACTATTACGAATAGGAATTATTGTAGGTGAAAAACAACTTTTTTTCTTATGACATGTGTCACTTCATTAAATATTTGTTTATAGGTGATGGTGACTTAGTTACAATTTGTATCTAAAAGATTAGGTTATTTTATATATTGCCTTTCTTCATTTAGAAAATGTGCAATGTACCAATTAATTACAATACCATTTAATTAGATTTTTTTATTGTTCACTAAATACAATACTTGTAATCTTATAACAGCCAGCTATGTGCATTTATAAATTAATTTAATCTTGTTTCTTGGGGAAAGCATGGCCATAGATGGTGTGGAATATACCAGCAAGTCCAACAACGCAGAGAGCCATGGTGAGACGGTAAAGCAGACCATCCACAGGGCCTCCTTTCAAGAAGACTGGAACATCATCATCTTTCTGAAATGCAACAAATACATTGAAAATCAAAATTACTACATAACTATAACACTTTCATCTTTCCATTTAATATTACACACAGAGTATAATTTAACTTTTTAATGAATACTTAAATAATTGATATTTTTTCATAGATTACTTAAAAGCAACATAGTAATAATATTATTTACAACAAATCAAGACATTTTAAATAATATGATCCTCAGAATATAATTCAGTATAATTCCTCTGACTTCTTTCCATGCAACTTAAGAACAAAATAATTGATGCTGATAAAATACATTTTATACCTGGAAAAGTTGTTGTCTCTTACGGATGGTTTCAGATACAGGTGGGTATGGTGTGTTGGTGCCTGGTATAAGTTTTCTTTGGCCAGATGGTGCACTGGCCTCAGTCACTGTTGAAAGTTGTGCAGTGGTATACTGGATTGTGGGCGTCTCCACTCGTTGCAAAGCAATTGGTGCCTTAATAGAGAAATAAGTGTAAATGTAAGATTATATATTATAATTAAATTAATATTTATGATATGACTGGGGATGGATAGATGGATGGAAATCATATTAAAATTTATATGGTATGAAAAAAACGATTTATGATGCAATGTTGCAATGGCTTAGTTATGTAGATTATTAAATTCAACGTAATAAAAAGAAATATACCAGGGTTCACAGGTTCCATCTTCAACCTTAAATTTCCATACATCAGAACGAGGCCACTAGAGCGACCGTGTAAGTACATAAGTGCTTTGTAATTATAGTATAAAAATTATAAAGTCTTATCCACATTAAAATACAAAAAATTGATATCGGGCAGAGAAGAAAGGTCTATTTTAATCTATTCTTCAAACATAGGTTGAAATTTATAGTCTTGGGTACAAAAGAAAATTATACGTACAACTGGAAATAGTGGACTTTGTAGATGTGTTGTAGCGACCACACGGCCAGTAAGTTTGCTTAATTGGTGATACATTTTTGCAGTTATTTGAAATAATAGAAGAAACCCACGATTTAAGCTATTACGAAACAAGTACTTATCACAGTGAGAAGTAGATGCGTTCTGAAATTAGAAATCTATAAAAATAACAAATATAATCTGAACTTCTAATGTTCCGTTGCTAACAGATTACTTGTTTTTGTTAAGTATATTACATAGAAAGACATATAATTAAAATCAGTTTTATAATAAATTATATTCGTTAATAATTTCAACTATTTATTCCTAATTTAAATTATTACAAGTTTTTGAACATTTATTACGTAGCTTGGTCGAAAACATTATTAAATAGATTATACATAGATAAACTTTTCTTTTGGTTCCATGTAATATGTAGAAAACCTCATATTAAAAGTAAGTAGTAATTCTAAAATTCTTTAATTAAAAATGATATAATCAAAATATTGATATTGATTACAAACATGTAATTATTATTTACCTATTTTTGAACGAAACTAAACCGGCCATGTCTTTTCTTTTGACTTTGACAGTTCTTTCTTTGAACACGTTTTAGCAAAAGGTGAGTATTTTATTCGGTAATTTAGTTTATTTGTGAATTAAATATTGTGTAAAGCTAACTATTTCCTAAAATTATAGTTTATTGTGGTCTAGTCTACTGTTACCTTATTACCAGGTTACTTATTACTGAAGTTCGAAATTTAAAAATCCGCGTGGTATCGCAGTGACTGGAACGATTAGCATTTGTTTTAGGTACTTTCAGTCCATGGCAATTGTCCGTCATAAAACAATGTATGTATAATATAAAATAAAATCTTTCAGCTCACAATGCAGATATTCGTGAAAACCCTTACGGGTAAGACTATCACCCTTGAGGTGGAAGCGTCAGATACTATCGAGAATGTTAAAGCGAAGATCCAGGATAAGGAAGGTATACCTCCGGATCAGCAACGATTGATTTTTGCTGGCAAACAACTGGAAGATGGTCGTACTCTTTCAGACTACAATATTCAAAAGGAATCCACGCTTCACTTGGTGCTCAGACTTAGAGGAGGTATGTTTTGTATAAAACTGATTAATTTGATTATTATATATTGGTATTACAAGTTCATTAAAATCTCTTATGATAGTACAATGAATAGATTTATAATTTTTGTTTTAGGTACCATTGAACCATCTCTCCGTATCTTAGCTATGAAGTACAATTGTGACAAAATGATCTGCCGCAAGTGCTATGCTCGCCTCCACCCTCGTGCTACCAACTGCCGTAAGACCAAGTGTGGACATACCAACAATCTCCGCCCTAAGAAGAAGCTGAAGGATTAAATAAAATTAGATTTATTTGCATTTTTGACCAGCAATTTTACATTGTAAAAATGTAACAAAGCCTATAAATTAAAGTGTACCAACTAAATTTGTGTATTTATTTTTGGAAAGTAGGATCAATTATTTTTAAGGATAATGGAATAGAATAGAATAGAATAGAAAATCATTTATTCAAATAAACTTAATTTAAGCACTTTTGAATAGTCATAACAATTTGTTTTTTATCTACCACTCGTTCGGAAAGCTGTCTCATCACAAGAAGAATGAGCAAGAAACTTGTGTGTTGCTCTTTTAAATAATCCTTGTAAGTTTACATTTACAAGTCGAAACGTGTGAATACAAACTACCAACAAGCACTAATTTTTTGGGTCAAATATAATCATGCAATAAGATTAAATCAGTCGTAGTGATAAGAGCAGACCAGTCCCTACAAGCAGCACTCGTTCACGAGAATGACGGATGAGTCAGCCATCACTGCGCTCGACCATATTTTAGGGAGCCCATTGACCCGGCCCACCACGCCGCTACATGTCTGGACATTTTAGTGAGCATGACTACTCATTCCACACGACCACGTCACAGCTACAAAAATTACTATATGGTAGTTACAGTATTCGCACTTTACATAAGGATGCATGCGGCAATCAATACAAAAGCCGCTACGCTATCATATATCAAGAAAGCAGTATGAAAATTAAAATTATAACGTTGTCCGCAAATAAACTTATTCTTGCTATATATTGCTATCATCTATAAATTCATCTATCTTATAATAGGCTTTTTTACATAACATTTGTTTAATATAAGATTTGAATTGCCTCTCTGTAAGATTTAGCGTAGACTCTGGCAGTTTATTATAGAATCTTACGCAATTACCATAAAATGAATTACTAACTTTGTGTAGACGGCATTTAGGTAAAATTAGCTTATTTTTATTGCGTAAGTTTCTAATTGTACAGTCTTTAAGTTTCTTGATTGAATGGAATTGTCTATTTATAATATGTAATGATGTATGTAAGTCTGTTAGCTCAATATGGTAAATTCAAGTGATTAGCCACTTTGGGGGACGGGATCACTAGTAATGTGAACCAGTGATCTAGCCTATGGTTAACAATGTACCATGTCAGGTGGGCCCTGCTTTGGTAAATTTATTAGGATAGTCTGACCTGACCCCAGGCTAATTTTAGCATATACTGGTGCTCCATCAGTGTAAACCATTAACACAAGCAGGGGTACAATATCATTATACATTAAAAGATAACCAATTTACAGAGTGGCTATGTGGACCATGTCAGCTATACCACCTGACCCTGAATTGGAACTAGTAACTTCATTGCTAAGAATATACCATTTCTTAGTAATGAAGCTACTAGTTCCAATTACTGACAATCTCTGATACTACAAAATCCATTCATCTCTGATCTTCAAGACTATATACTGGACTGGTATAAACAAGAAAAGGGAATGATATATTTCTTACATAGTAACAAAATGGATTGATACATAATAATTGCAACTTAATAATAAAATGCTAGGTAGAATAAATAATAATAGAGGAACAATAAAGAGTTTAATTAATCAATTAATTCATTCCAGAGGATACACAAATTTACTTTTTTTATAGGTATTTTAATACATAAATAAAAGTACCCAGCTTCAAAGTGAAGATAAAAAAGTTGATATTTATATAAAGAATAAATAAACATAAATTACAATCTAGGAATAGTATCTGGATAAAAATGAAATGCAGTTTCACAACCATTTCTATAAAATTTATTCAAGTATATCTTATTTATAAATTTAATACATTGTTTAATAAATGCAACAAATTTGTAGGCAAATACAATATTACCTATAGGTACCTTAAAATATTAGATACTATGGCAGTACAACAATGCAAACTCTCTATTCAGTTATTACCAAAACCAAACGATAATTTATATACACTACTAATAAAATTTGTAGATACAACATAGTCATTGTTCATTGATTTAATAGATATTCTATTTAGAACCCACTTCAACTTCTTCATATGTTAAAAAATCAAGACGACTACGGAATTATATATGCACGCATATATCATAATATTTATATTTTTTTTATTAGTATAAAATAGTATAAATTTATATGTTCTTTTGAATAGTGAGATATCAATTTTCTCTTTTTTTTTCAGGGACAAAGGTACCTAAGTCTATTTTTGTATAAAATAATGAAATATAATAAATCATTATAAACAAAATATACATCGATTACTATATCCTATCATATCTATTAGAGTAAAAATATCAATAAACTTCGTTTTATTAAAGCTATAATGGACGGATTTCAATTACATCACTCGAATGTGCTTACACCATTCCGAAATGAACAACCTTGATCTTAGGTGGTCTTTCTGGGGTTGATTCTGAAATAAAAAAGAAACGATTAAATGATTATTGAAAGGAAACGAAAGGGAACGAAAAGGTTGTGGTGTATTCTAATGTTAAAACTTGTTTTATAAATCTTCATTAGTTAGTAAATGGTACAAACTCTATTGTAAATTTAAAGTCTCAATTCAACATTCTGCAATGTCCGCGTGTTACTAATTAAAGATGTTACATGAGGTATCTACCACAATATATTCAATATAGATTATACAATATATGTACGGTGTATGAATTTATTTCATATTATTTTTTATATAATTGGAGTGGCAAACAATTTGACGGCCTGATAACTGTCTGACTTGTAGCCGTCGCTTATATACATTAACAGCATCACGTTATGATGGAGCGCTCGTAGTACACCTTATGTGTTGCCATACAGGACGTTTAAGACCTTGCCTTGTAATTTCACTGCCTTATCTCACCATTCAACCGAAGCATACTCGGAAGCTAAAATAGATGAGAACGAGGTACCCACGCAAAAGGCTGTTCAAACTTTAACTAATTGGTTAGTCATGCTCTGTGCTAGTGAAATTAGATTGTAAGATGCAAATTTAAATGTAAATAGTGCGTAAGTTAGTTGTCTCATGCATGTGTTAGACAATACAGGCAGAAATGGACTACTTATATTTATAACTGACAATGAATGAGTGACATGATAGTAAGGTCAGTTCTGAAATGCCAACCTCCAAAACTATAGTTCAAATTGAATAAGTACCACGACAAATGATTATTAAATACATAATAATAGTAATTGTGACTGAAATTTACAGCAACCCGTTCTGACAAATCTAGCAATGTCAGTCACAACTGCTGGCGTTAGAAACTTGAAATATTGCATTCAACTTGCATTATGAGAGGGTTTCTTGGAATAACTGTGCGAACAGGAAATAGCAGTTTTCTGTTGACAAAGTTAAAGAAGTAATTTAAATACAACGTAGTTGAAGTTTTTTTTAATTATTTAGAAAACAGGAATGTGAATGCGTTAGTTTATCTTATATACAGACTAACTACTCGCCCCGACTTCGCTCGGGTGTACATGTATTATACATATAAATCTTCCTCCAGAATCATTCTATCTATTAAAAAAAACCGTAGTTTTAAAATTTAAGCATACATAGGGACACACAGCGACAGCGACTTTGTTTTATACTATGTATAATAATGATGATGTAGAACAGATTGAAAAGATGGTTATGTAAAATAAATAGTAACAAGCATTGGAATCTACCGAAACAATTACTGATAGATGAGTAATAATGAAATGATCAGACAAATATTGATACAAGCAATGAAGTGCAAGATGATAACAAACATGACACGTGGTGGCATGCGCGTAGTGTGCGTCACACTTCGACGTAGTCGAGCGAAGTACCGGCGGCCGCTTGGAGATGGGGCGGTTGTGGTTGTGACGGTGACGGTCGGGGTGGCAACGGCTGGGGCGGTTGTGATTGGGGCAGCGGCGGTTGGGGCGGCAACGGCTGGGGCAGCGACGGCTGGGGCGCGAATGCTGCTAAATACTTGTGAGGCGGGCACAGTGGTAGACTGTCGGCTAATTCTCGTTCCGTTTCCGAGCAGACAGGCGAATCCTGTTACGGTATTTTACGGTACATTAATTTATTTACACTTATTTGTCACAGTAAAAATACCAAGCTGTAACAAATTAGTACTTATGTGTATATTATGAGCTTTAATATTATAAACTCTGGATTCAATAATTTGAACAAAACAGTAAGAATGATTGACTCTTTCATGGCGCAATGGTCGAGCTCGTTGATGACTGATTCACCCGTCATACTCGTGTACGAGAACACTATGACTAAAAAATAAGAATGATTGACTCTTTTATAACGCTAAGTAATTTCTAAGTTTGCTTTTTAAGCTGTGTTTCGGCGTGAGACATAGCAGTGAAATTATAGAGTGCCAAGGTATAACTTAGTCCTCAGGAATAGCAATGCATGAGAATAGAATATTATCTCAATTGTATCTTGTCACACTGTATCCTATAAAGCTTTTTATATTACTGTTCTTAGTTATCCATAGCCACAACTTTTCATAAAATGGGCACGCTAATAATAACTTCTTTCCTATTCCACTTATACATTCCTGAAAAATGAGTTTACTCCAATTTAATATACAAATGATGTACCATATAAACGGTTTAACTGTATTTAAGTAAACTCACACATTTAATTAGATGTGGCTAAAATAGTTTAATAAGATGTTTTCAAAACTTAGTAACAGGAACAAAAAAAGACTTACAGATACAACAGCAATCGTGACGGTGTTCGAAAATTTAACTTTATTTTTTTCAATCGGTCGATTTGTACTTCTCTGCGGCGTACAATCTGGTCTCATTTGTGTACTTAGATTTGTATTCGAGTAATAGTTATTATTGCTGTAGTATCTATATGTTGTGCTAGGTGCTTCGTCTCTTAATTCCGTTTGGTACATATTCCTAAACTGGCCGGATGCCGTTTTTTCTTCTTTCTTAGGTACATCCAAGTTCGTTCTTGTTGGTACTTCACTAATTGCAGCAAGCATTTGTTTTGATGGTTGCTTAGACAGCATATTATCCACACTATGCCATCTCATGTTTTGTGTTAACACTGGTTTGTATTTATTATAGCCATTGGATATTATAGTGTCATCTCTTAGGTTAGTCCAGACATTGTTGTCTCGTTCTAGGTATTGATGGAGGTTTGGACGAATACTGTTTGTGGAAATTGGTTCAGTTTGTGTTATAGAAACGGGCATTAGTGTGGGTTGAGGAGGGAGAGATGGTAGCGACACTCGAGGCAACGGTGGTGGTTCAGTTTTAGCCACTTCGGAAGATTCACTAGTTTCAACATCCGAATCTGAATAGGAATGTGAACAATGTGAACCGCAGGAACACGATCCTGAACAGTCGGACTCTAAAACAGATAAAATACGTTTTTAGTAACTGTAATAATTGCCACTATACATGTATTGAGATAAATTAGATAAGGTCAGATGCAATAAAATTATTTGTATTTTTTATGAGACTGGAATGGCAAAGAGAGGGTTAGAAATGAGAAAATATTTTTTTATTTATTCATACACTCTCCCCCAGCCGAAAGGCGTTCACGGTCCTAAGAGCCGGGTGCTGGCCACTTTAGTGCATCGTACAAAACCTTAAATGGATTACCGGTGGGTTGCAAGCGGGCGTAGTGCGCAGCGAGGAGTGCGGCCTCGTCGCGTAGTGCGTGCAGACCGCGGCGTGCGGCCGCACTGCGAGCGTCCGAGCACAAGTCCCACGCCGCCAGCTCCACGCCCAGGCTCAGCGACGTCTCCACCCGCCCGCGTCTGTCGTATGGACCACACCTCGCATTAGATTTCACAGAAATACTTTTCGCAACAAACGTTTGGGACATTATTTTGGTGGAAACACCAGTTGTATGGTGTTGTGATAATTTCAGCATGCCAATCTATCGACCTCTAGACGGCCTTGAGTTTAACGGTTTAGCATACCACCTTACTTCCGATGGTAACGCGTACTATTTTTCGCATGGTACAAAAATTTGTATTGCGATGATGTATGAGGTGATGAGTAGTATGCTTGTTTGTAACGGTATGGACGTTTTCCATGTATATATTTACCAAAAAAAGTATATATACAGGTATGTATTGTCTAGTATCCATAACACAAGCTCTGCTCACCTTGGGATTAGATGACGTTGTGTCAAGTATCAAAGAAATATCTATAAATTGATATATTAATTCATATTCATATATTAAGAGAAGTGTTTAATGTTTTCGTAGGAGCTACCCGAGTTGGTGATGGAAGTTTCCCGAGCTTCGGTTTTTTAAGTGACCATTCATAAATGATGTATTCGTTTTGGAATGAGGTACCTGAGCAGGTGATGGAAGAGTTTCCTGGCGAGGTCGTGCAGCGGCGGCGCGGCGGGCGCGGCGGGCGCTGCGGCGGCGGCCAGCGGCGCGCGCGGCGCCAGGAACGCTCCCAGCGCCGCCTGCGCGCTCTCCTCCGCCGCCGCCCACGCTACGCATGCACCCACACACACATCGTTTTAACTAACATGGTCTACACCAGTGATTCCCAACATGGGGCCCACGTTTTCGAAAATTCGAAAATGGTCTTGACATGAGATCGACTCTTTCGCTCCGGGCCATTTAAATGCAATACTAGATTTAGTGCCAAAATTAATCAAAAAAGCAAAAAGTTTGTGAGTATGGATGGATATTTGTTACTCTTTCACGCAAAAACTAGAATATTAGATAAGCTAATGTTTACCAAGGCACAAATTGTACGTATTTGGAAGTCGGTTAAAGACAATGAGGGTACCTGTATAGTCTAGTATAATGAAATTATAGTAAGTATACCAGTTTTGCTACGCAGCGCTGCACAAACTATTTTGTTGACGGCCCACAAGCAGCGGGGTCCATCCTCATCCCAATCCATGGCTCGCAGAAGCGCCACCGCGTTACTGTTGCGGCCCGCATTTAGCCACGCCTGTAAATACAATTTAACTTATACTTTGTTCACTATACCATGATAGGGAAGCACATATTTAAAGAGAAATTATTGGGTATTGCCTTAAACAAAAAAATTGGTGTTTATTTTTTAGATATGTATGGAACTGTATTCATCTATAAGTTTTAAATTGCCTTTATTTTACATTTTAAGCGTTTTAGACATCTTAGTTTTATAATAACTGATAATACCGTCAATAATCGTGGATGGGTGATGCGAAGTAATGTGAGAGGGCCGCCGTTGAATGTTGTTAATACAAATGGACCACTAACGGCATTGTATGTAGCTAGGATCTGCATACGGCTGGCATCCCTGTAGGTCAAACGACATATTTATAATTTACTGAGCTGGATCTATATCCAATCTAGAATCATTAATAATTGTGAAGGATAATCTAGAATCATTATTAATTTGTTAGAAGTGACACTCCTGGTGCTGTGCAATGCTGATCTTACGACTTCATTAATATTAGGTTAAGTCTTAACGGTTAAGATGACGACACGTCATTATTAATCCTCGTAGTATTAAAAAACAGAGCATGAGTTTTTAAATATATGTAATAAATGCACACACTTACCTTAAATATGAAGTGAGATCTAAGCATTTGGTATGATTGTGTAGCAGAGATAATGCGCGGTCGAAGCACTGCAAGCGACCTCCCTCTTCCACAGCCACAATTAATTCTCCCGCCCATCGCACGTCAGCTGCTATCTAAAATTAGCGATAAAATCTCTAATTTCTAAAATTCTTTATTCTTAATTGAACTGGAAAACATAATGTCCTACATGAATAAATGGTTTTGACTTTTACTACGAATACATTTTTTAATCGTAATCATCAAGTTTCGATTTTTGTGACATTTATATCAAGGTTTACTCTCCTTGTAATAGGAAGAAAATATAACACTGTTTATATGTTGCGTCTGTTCAATTTCATACAAATTAGGAGGTAATTTCTTGCATCAAACTATTTACATAGGTCCAGAAGGTTAGACATGAATGTATATATATAACAAATAAATATATAAATAACAAATTAATTACCATCAAGAAGGATAACATCTAAAAATTTCTTAATGTTGTGCTGGTAAGATTACATATTATTACTTTTTTATTCCCAGAATTAATATAGTAATCATAACGAAAAAATTATATTATTTCAAATATGACCTAATAAAACCGGGTGTAGTTCCCGCACAATTTAGACGAAGAGCAAATGCTTACAAAGCCAGCCTTTGTAGAGTGCGTAAGTCCTGCTATGTTGTGTACAAGATGCAGTGATCCGTCGATGCAGGCTGCAAGTAGTCGCGTGCCGCATGGCGATCTGCGGGCGGTCCGTGCTGGCGCCGGCAACCACACGCGCGTGCCGCCTGATCGCGCGTTCGACAATTTCGTGGCTCGTTCGCGCGATCCCGACGATATATCGTACCGCGCCCACTCTAAATTGACACCGTTCTGGAAAATAATGACATTTAAGGCAGTTTTAGAATAAATTGTGTATATTATTGGTTGGTTGATTTCTATTTGTACTGTATATATAATGTTATTATACGGACACACGAAAACAAAAGAAAATGTTTTCCTGTAGCTTTTTGAACCTTCTACATAAGCAGTGTGCATATAGAAAAGTGCTGAAGCACAAATTAACACTCGCTGATGAATGAACTACGCCGCAATGTTACAATTTCAATTTTTTTTAGACTACTATGGTGGCAAACAGGCATACGGCCCATCTGATGGTAAATGGTTACCGTAGCCTATGGACGCCTGAAACACCAGGGGTGTCACGTGCGCGTTGCCGACCCTTAAGAAACCTTCTTGAAAAACCCCATGCTGTAGTCTCGTGAGAAAACCTTGGCAAGAAGTTCATTCCACAACCTAAGTGTACGCGGGAGGAAGCTCCTCTGAAATCGTACTGTCTGAGACCACTTGGGTTCCAGCGTGTGGGAATGAATTCCCTGTCGAGGGCGAGCGGTGCGATGGTAAAAGGTGGCCGTAGGCATCATGTCGAACAATTCCTCAGAACACAGTCCGTTGTATAATATAGTAGTTGTACAGTTTTAGATATTGGAATACTGTTAATTTCATATTACATCTCTAAAACGTTATGTTCTTGTTGTTATCAACTGATACAACTTCTGAGATAAATTTTTTAAAATAACATGTAGTATTTTTATTTTAATAAATTAAATATAAGTTTAAATCATTACATTTATTTATACCCGCTGGATGCAACTACCGTAATTAGCATTTGTCGCCTTACTTGCGAAAACACTTTGCAAGAATATGTGTGCAGATTGATACAAACACCACTGTATACACAATATTGTGGTTGTCCTTTTTACTGCATTTACTGAGAAAATTCAAGTTACTTAAGAGTGGGCTCACATTAAAGTTCTGACACAAGGGATTGGCGTATTAATTGCTATGCCCCATTCTTAGTATTTTTTGAAAAAGTTTATTACTTATAGTGCTTGTATTGCATATGGTGACAAAAACAGTCGGTTTTAGTCTTGTTACCAAACAATTTTCGACATCATTTGACCCTAGTATTTCTTCATACAGTATGTTTACAAAAAATAAACGAGAATAAAATTATTTGAAACTAACCTGATGACATGTGATTTGTTCAATAATATGAACAGTATTGTTTTGTTTTTGGGTCAGGTCTGCTGATAAAGTTTCATTTTCAAGTTGATGGTATGCTTTTAAATACATCTGCTCTCTGTAAACAACATATTAAGAGGAATGATAAAAATTAAGCATCAGTATGATTATACAATATCTTATAAGAAAAAAAATAGATATATATATAGTCAAGATTAGATTGGATACATGATTATGGGATATTTCTTCATTAGCAAGTAATGAGACATTTCTTAGAATAACATGTATATAAAAGAGCAAGTTTTATGGTCATTATTCTAGTGATGAGTGAGACAAAATGAGTGTCAGAATAAACGAATATGACTATTCAAAAGTGCTTATATTAAGTTTATTTATATATAATAAATAAAATATTATAATGTTTAGTTCTGTTAGTTAATATTTTTGCTGAGATATAATTTACCCTTCTATGTGGTATAAGTGTAAGTTGGCGTGGTCTTCGAGAATAGGGCTCCAGGGCGCCGGTTCTGCGTTAGCTGTGCTCCATACCAGCACACGCACGCCATTCCCTGCCTCACACCACGACACGCGTCTTTCAGTGCGACGGGACCCACCTCCTAATTCTACATTCTAAAAATGAAAATAATTTAATAACAATTAAAACCTAGGAGAATACACACAGCACCATCAAGCTAAGCTGAGCTTGTGTATTAGGTATAGCACAACTGTTATTAATGCTTAAATATATATTTTTGTAAATACATAATATACATAGGAATCACCCAGACCAATAGACACAATCATATTTATTAATACAAATGTTTATACTGTGCGAGGAAACGAACCATCAATAATTAGTAGTAAGGCAGTTCGCTAAACCACTAGACCTCAGAGGCCATCAAAAATTGGAAGGGTATTATGTGCAATGTTAAAATAAACTTAATATTACTTAATAATAAAAATACATTACAAACATAACAATTTATAGTACAATGGTATTTTTATGTTACTATTAAAATATTAAAATTAGTACTAGTTTTATATGGCATACAATTTATATGTTGGTAATCATGGTTTGGAACAAACCTGTATATGTGGGTCTCTGTCTGATATGCGGCAAGGTATACGGTTTACTGGAGTTTTCCCAAAAGTGATTAAAGTTGCCATTCTTTCTGTATGCGTGAACATAAGATGAGAACTGCATAGTACAACTGAAATAGAAAAAAACAATAGATCTGAAAACTATGAGTAAATTTAGAGATAAAAATACTTACATTAGTCATACTAATATTATAAATATGAAAGTATGTCAGTCTGTCAGTGCCTTTGCTTTTACAACAAACAAAAACAACTCAACTGATTTTCATTAAATTTATGTTTGACAGTGATACACTACCTACTACCATACCTATATTCATCCTAGGGATACTCCTAGGATGAATATAGGTATGGATATATACGGATAATATCTATATATTGTTATCTCAAAACAAAAGTCAAGGATGTAAGTAACCATTAAATAGACTTTCAATTTTATCTTGTATTCAATAATAATATTTACTTAAACTTGGATATACCTCCTGTAACAGTTTGTCCAGCCAGTTTTCCAATACAATATCTATCAAACAGTATTTGGGTTACATCTAAGCTGTTTGGTTTTATGGTGAGGTAGGCAATCGCTCCTGAAGAAAATACCATGGTGATTAGAGTCTCGTTTGTCCATTCACACAGGACTATGCCACGTTCCATTTTCGATTCAAGCTGACGAATTTGCCGCGAATTCGATGATCTCCAGCATCCACCACGACGCTCGTAGTAATTCCTTTTAGCAGCATCGTGCACTGATTCTTCCAACCTTTTTTTCGTTTCATATCTATAGAATAATAATTACAAGATAAATGAATACTTTGAAAAGTTAATACAGTATGTTGAATGTTTATGACAACACGTACTTAAAACTTTTGAAGTCGGTGTTCTTTAGATTTATACTATCGTCACATGTTAGAAATTTTATATGGTAATTCAGCATTATTTTCACAAAATATATATACGTATATAATTAAACATCTTTAGTTATTATTTTTTTTGTATAAATATTTAAAAAAATATATACAACTATATAAAACAAAACAGTAAAAGTTGAAATTATGGAATGATAGATTGACAGATTGAATGTTGTGATTTTGTGGTGGGTATGTCAAACTTTCAATAGCTTTCGGTTCCAACTGTCTCTTCTTTGGGTAATGTAATACCCACGTTACAAAATATTCTTATACAAATCTATAGTCAGTCATATTATAGTAAAACCATCGGACGATCAAAGTATTATCTTGTACAATAAGCTTACAAAATTAATGTTTAATTATTTAGAGGATATAAAGAACGTAATCTGTCACAGTGTCATTATTGGTTTAATACTTTATCTATCAAGGTAGATATTGTACCATTTTAAAAAGAATTCCATTTAGAGAAACATGTCTAGCTTCACATAGTATAAAACAAAGTCGGCTCCGCGCGCCGCTATTCGCTTAGATCTTTTAAATTAACAAACCTTTCAGAAATAGAGTAATTAAATATGTAGGTTTATATGCATACTATGTGCGTATTATGTATAATATAGAAAATCTGAAAATATACATGATTTGTAACGCACCGTCTATAATTTAAATTTTAAACCTAGCTGACGTTACCTCATGATAAGGTATTTGTTACGTATATAAATTAAAATATCGATCGAAAGTCTTGAAACCCGCGTCTAAGTACTAGTCGATTAGGATTACCACCTCTAGATTAGATTACTCCTTCCTAGCAATGGCATCTTAATAAAAATAGTAGATTTATACAGGAAAATTCGAAAGCTGCTAAAGCTTAGAGTTTGGGTTTCTTACTGTTTGGATCGCCTGATAAAGCTTTTCGGTTTCCGGAGGTTGCTTTTTAATTCTTCCAACCGTTAAAATGTCAATGAACAACTTTTCATACTGCTGACTAAACACTGTTCAACGACAGCAAATGGTCAGTTTCCGCTTACAATAATAATGTATTACGTGTATCAAGTAAATAGATAAAACATAGAAATTGAAAGTATTTCAATTATTATTTATTCCGATATCGTAGCGAACAGAACTCATCATATTCACCAACAAAAGAGTTCCAGGTACCTTCAGATTACCGAAACTCTTTAATACAGAACTTAAACTTAAGGAGGAGGTTAAGTATTTGGGAGTCATACTAGACAGTAAACTTCTCTGGAATAAACACCTTGATTACAAAATTAACAAAAGCACAATTGCATTTTATCAATGCAAAAAAATGCTGGGAAATAAGTGGGGTATCACACCGAAAATAACTCTTTGGCTATACACATCAATAATAAGACCAGAGCTGGTATATGGGGCCTTGGTTTGGTGGACAAGGTCGAAACTCACGACCACAGTCAACAAACTAAGATCTTTTCAAAGACTTGCGTGCTCCTCAGTTACCGGATGTATGAAAACAACCCCAACAATGGCAATGGAAATAGCCCTTAACATAACACCCCTTGACCTATACATACAGCAGGAAGCAGCTGTAGCTGCCATAAGATTATACCATCTTGGTCTATGGGGCAAAAACCATAACAGTTCTCACACAACCATCCTGAACCAGGCAATCGAATATGAACCTTTGATTGCCGCTCCGTGTGATAGAACTCAAGCATACCACTCATTCAACAGGAAATACCAAATACAATTGAAGGAGGTGGAAAGAGACCAATTTGCAGTAAATGAACTACGCATATACTCAGATGGCTCCAAAACACAGAACGGTTCAGGAGCTGGAGCACATTCCCTCGACCTCAACATGAACATATATATACCGCTCGGAGAACACAGTTCGATCTTTCAGTGCGAATGTGTTGCCCTGACCGAGGCAGCAACAGCCGTGTACAGGTTAGGAGTCAACAATTTCAACATTAAATTCATATTGGACAGTGCAGCCGTGCTTAAAGCACTATAGAACAGAAAATCCAACAGCAAATTAATAATCGAGTGCCACATAGCCTTGGAAAAAATTGCAACGCACAATGGAGTAATTATCCAGTGGATAAAGGGACACAGTGGATCATATGGCAATGACGCCGCGGACGAGCGTAGCGAGAATAGGATCTGGCATGGTGGTTGCAGGCCCCCTCCCGCTTATGCCAATACCCTTCTCGCAACTTCGCACCTGGATTCGCCAGAGATCCACCGAAATACAAAACCAAAGATGGAACCTAACCACTGATTGCAATTAGATTTCGCTTTTATTATTTAGCTAAAAATATATTTTCATGTAACAATTTCGGTTCGTTTTATCTCCGTTATAATGTAAAGGTTATACAATCTACAAGGCTTTCTTCATATTTTAATAATACAGAGAGAAAATAGGGGGTAAGTAAGTAGTCAGTGTTCAGCACTAGTTGTAAAACTATTATTTATATATATATATACATTTGGAACTGGTATTCATAACAGGCATATATAAAAATTGTTAACAAAAAGTGTAGATACATAAATCATGAGTATTTATGTAGACACTTTATTAAGGTGTATGATGGTGATAAGATTCCTCATCAGTTTTCTAGAACAACTTTGTGGGCAATACGGTGCTCCGACACAAAACCAGAAACATTATAGAACACATTTTAATTACTGAAAATGTCGATGAAAATTATAGAAAATGGATTACTAATGTAGCGGTAGTAAAAAATTATTATTTGCATATAGAGTTTATACATTCCCCTTTACATTACAAGTAATAACAATTATAATTACCTGAGCGACACAAAGCAACTTTGTACCTATAATTAATTATATCTAATTAGTATCTAATTAAACCCTGAAATAAACAGTTAAGGAAATATATTCACAATAAGTTTTTAACTTTAAGTTTGGTAGGTATAATTACTAATTTATTACCGATCTTACTTCTTTTCTCATATGTCTTAAAAATTATTTGTGTATTTTTTATCATATATAAAAATGTGTATTATTATTTTATATCGTAGGTACGATATAAAATATATTTATTGCATAAAGATAGATTTATTGCACATTTTATGAAATTATTATTAAAATAATAGGTTATACTATTTTGCACACTTGATATATACTTATTTAATTAATGATGACGTCGTGTTGTACCTACAAGAAGTACAAGAACGTAGTGATTACTTGCTCAGTGCATACAAATTTGTAAAAATAAACAAAACGATATTCCTGATTTACGTTCTAATGTTCCATATTTAAACTTATTGAAGGCACATCTATTGACTATATGATATCATTATGCAAACAGTAGCACTATATTTTTATTATTATAAAGTTGTCTGTGTGGGTGTTTCTTATACTTTTCTTACTGCTGTTAAATAGCTTCAATTAAAATGTCTGAAAGCTACTTGTAAAAACATAGCACACAACAACAGCGGGATTATTATACTAACAGATATGTAAAAATAGCTGAAAGAAATTAATTTCTTTGTTAATTTTTTATTTCAGCGTTATTATTAATAGTGAACCTTATAATGTTCCTGTTAAGCTTGGTTCTTGGGTGACGTAAACGAAGTAGTAAAATAAGCAATACAAAGTTTTCAAAGGCGCTATGCTCTTTGAGGGTATAGCGATAGGGTTTCATCATTCTTGTGATTTCTATGGAAACACCTGAACACAATAGCGATTAACGATGTGGTTAACGGACTATTAAAACAGTGAACAACAAATTGATCTAATATCTTTTGATTTATAAGACTGAGTATTTACCTATAAAAGGTAAATAAATACTTATATTCCAGTTACTAACCTACTGTATCTTGACTTTTGTATTTCTAAATATATATGATGTTTTCTTAAAAAAAAGCAAAAAGCAATTCAGATGGTTATTTATTGGAAATTCATAAATTTGTCATAGTGGTTTACCAAGACTTCATTTGTGATATGACGGGGGCAGAAATAATTACTTGACTGAGGTATAAAAATAGCCTTTGTCCTTCTCAATGCCAAACCATTTTGGTAGGGCCTTTTAGGACTTATTTTATTTATATGGTTCAAATTATGATTGCTTGCTAAGAGAATGTGGGCTCTAAAAAGAATGAGGTTCCCAATCGAATTTAATTTTTTGTCTACAGGTTCTTATAATGTCTGACACTTTTTATGATGTGGACAGAGACAGAGATAAAAAATATGAATTTAAAAATATAGGTATTTTCCTAAATTTATTTACACTTTTTCGTGTTGTATTTATTAAATTAACATTTACCTGCTAGATGCAAAATAATATCATGTGGATAAACATATCTATATTCACGTAAAATTAATATACCATCCTTAGAGACCAAGTTTTTAAAAATATCGTAAACAAAGAATTATGAAGATTATACCTTAACCAGGTATGTATATATTTCAGTATGTTATCTACCTAATTAGACCATACGAATGTAATCTTGAGTATGAGAATCGTGATTATGAGAATCGTGAGTATGAGAATCGTGATTTTAACGGCCAATGGTTACGGTTATGACTTGATCAAATTGCAGATATTCGGAGTGACAAAATAATTGTGATAAAATGAAATACTTGTAATAGCAGCCATCTGGCGCCGCCATCTTCTAAATTCAACGGGTGCCATATTGAAGCTAGCACATTTCAGGTAGGTTGATATAGTAAAGAGAAATTTTAATTACTTAAATTCACCAGAAAAGGCCTTTGGATAAAATTAGAAACGATAAACTTTGACGTTATCATGGTTTAATTACGAAAAAGTGCTTAATCTCAAAAATTTCTTGAATATTCCTATAAGTACAGGTTTTTAGGCGGATATTAACTCTATAGTTCTTTTCAGAGCATAGATTGTATCTCTATGTCACATAAACGAACAAAATATACTTATTTGGCGTTTAACTGTATATTTCTACAATTTATGATATTATTAATGTTGGGAATAAAACTCGAGTAGATCTCTTTTTCTATATTATTTTTGTATTTTAATTCGACAAAGACTACTAAGTAAAGAAAAACTATTATTATAAAAAGTATAGTATCGGTGAAGATTAGGTACATGCTTAGTGAATTATACAAAAAACGAGAATGAAAACTT